ATGTATGTATGTATGTATGTATGTATGTATGTATGTATGTATGTATGTATGTTTTATGTAATGTTTTCTGGTTTTTTTTGTTAGACTTTTTCTGAACGTCTACTGGGAAATTTTTCCTTAGCTGTTCCTATTTTTGTTGCACTTTCTTGCTTTGGATCTATGAATGGTGGTATATTTGCAGTTTCAAGGTAAGTTATTCTTTTGCTAATGAAAGGTAAAATAAAAGTGAATGAAACATAGAGATATACTGTATATCTGTGCACACACATTCATACTTATTATATTTATTTCTTCATATGTAAGTATCATTGACAATCTAATAATTGCATAAATACAGAGAGAATATTATACTTTTCGTTTAGGTTTAGCTGACACTGAACACAGTTTAATAGTAAAATGAGTGAAAGCAATAGAACTGTAAAATATTGCACAATTCCCATTTTAAATAGATTTTGTTTTATTACTGCTCCCAATGCTTAGTACACTTTCACTGATACTTGTATAAATTATCTGTAAAAGTAAAATAAAGCAATTATTTTAGTAAATAAAATACTTAAATAGTTAAATAAATAGTTAAAGCAACTATTCTTGTTATTGAACACTGACAAAGGTTCAAAATAGGTTTTAGAAGTTTTTTTTTCATAAGCTTCTAAATTTGCTTTCTCAATTCTTTAATTCAGCTTCTGATGCTTGCATTGCATAGAAACAAATAGGACTATTGAGGATAACTTTGAATGTATTCTGCATCTCTGGTGAACTGCTTCAATTAATCTTGGTAATGAGGATCTTTAAAAGCTGTCCAAATTTATTTTCCCATCAGGATGTTCTACGTTGCATCCCGTGAGGGTCACCTTCCAGAAATTCTCTCCATGATTCATGTTCGCAAGCACACTCCTCTTCCAGCTGTCATTGTTTTGGTAAATCATATAAACAAATGGCTCTTTATCAACACTGTATAACATGGTCCTGCTCGGAAGCATTCAAATGTAACTTAAACACTACTTGAAATGTGGTTATTTATTTCTGTTCCACTATGTTTGGAGGGGTGGAAAATAAACAATGAGATGATATATTCAAGAACTTTCCACTAGTTACCCTTAACTCTCACAGGCTAGCACTTAAATCAGACTGCTGTATTTTATTTGAAGGTTGAATGAGAGTGATTAGTTAAACTCTCAATGGAATGATTCTTCCTAGATAGGAAGCAGACTAATGAAATTCTAAAGACAGGCTATATGCTAATGTGGTGTTTTGAAGATCTGAAGTTGCATTCTCAATATTTTGAAGAAAAATGTAAACACCAGTGATAGATAAGCAGCATTATCCCTCCTTTCATGGTGCTATTCTAGATAATTTATATACATATGTATATACCTTTTCATATCACCAATCTGCAATGCAGAAATGAGGTGGCACATTGGATAAAGGACCACAATTTTATTGATGACAATGAAAATGTATTACAGAAGTTGCAATTGGATAAAGTGGAGGAATACATACTGCTTTCGCACTGTTGCAACTATCAAATCCAATGAACAATACAAAAGTCCTGTCAAGCTGGATAGCCCTAACCTTTCACTAATACAATAGTTTTGATCAATTAAATAAACACTTATATGTCTAAGTTAATCAGGTTGCAGCACAAACATCTTCTTTCATGATTATATAAAGAGAGAGTGAATTGACTGAAAAGAATAGGGTGAAATGCTCTTATATTTACTTAATGGCATCTCATTGTAAAAATAGTATAATATTAGAAAACTAATTATTCATTGCCAGTCAGTGGAGAGACATCAGAAATGGACAAGGGTACATGCTCCAAATGGGATGATTAGGCCAGTAAACATTTCTGTCTTTTACATCAGTAGCCTATGCTTTATCAATCCTTTTAGTGTGATTTACCCCCTATTAGAAGGTGCCAAATGAGCTATCTACAGGCCACTGAATAATTTGGCAACTTTTCATTAATACCACTGGTCAAATTTACTGAAGTTTGGACTCCATATGGGCAAGATATGAAACATGACAAAGATAGTATCTTGCAATCTTATCTGGCATCAATTTTATTTCATGAATTCTGAGGATTTGGATTGGGTGCTAGACAGTATGAGCTTCACCATGTATGAGTTGCATTCACACTTAGCCTTTGGGATGATTGGATCAAGTTCAGTGAGATTGCTAATGGTCTTCTCTTGGGGAAGGCATCTCTAGATCCAGTCATTTTGGATACCAATTGTCTAGTGTACAATATTCTTCTGTGGCAAATATTTTGGAGAAAATGTTAGAACTCATAGAACAACTACAAGTGTGGATTAATTGATTTTTTTTTCAATAAGGGGAAGGGAGAAAATTCAATGTGATTTATGGAGTATCCAATACAATGTAATAAGCAACAACTTGTGCACCAATGAGTATTTTTTTATTTTTTAATTATTTTTCAGTATCCTCTCACTATGGTCATGCTCTTTGCCAGTGATCTCTATGGCCTCTTAAATTTCCTCAGTTTTGCAAGATGGCTTTTTATAGGATTGGCAGTTGCTGGGATGATCTATCTCAGATATAAACGTCCTGATATGCCTCGTCCTTTCAAGGTAACCATGGTTACATGACTGTTTTCTATAAACACGTTTTGTTTTCTATAAACACGTTTTGTTCAAACCAAGCTGTATTTAAAAAGAGATCATCTAATGAAAATATCCTCTTTTCTGGTTGCTCATACATTCATATGAATGTATCTGTTCTTTGAAAATATTTTCTGAAGCCTTTCTTAGGAAGAATCCCAAACAAGATGATATTATGTCACCAGTCCAACAGCAGGCTACTTTCTTATCTTCAACAGTGTACAACACATATGGTAGTAGTTTGGGAGTCAAATGGGTTTGGTGGCAGATGTAACCACATCCTTCAACATCAAACTGAGGATCTCATGAGGAATTGTTAAAAACTATTAACAGTTCTTCAGTGATTGTGTCATATGGAAATTGCCTGAATTTGTTCTCAGCTTCTTTTAGGGATTAGGTATCACAGCTAGACCTTAAATGATTTCAGTGTTGGTTAAAGAACACAGCTTCTAGTCCTTCCAGTCAAAGAACATATTTTGCTGAATATTACTTGATACAGTAATATCTTGATAATAGTTTTATATTGTTTTACATTATATTACATGAATTATTTTCTCCTTAGTTTTATTTTCAATAGTTCATTGAGATTTTATTGTTAATGGTCTAGTGGTTACAACACCTGACCAGAAGCCAAGAGAGTATGATTTCTGCTATAGGCATGAAAGCCTGCTGGGTGACTTTGGGCCAATCGCTCTCTGTCAGTCCAACTCACTTTTCAGGATGGTTCTTGTGAGGAAAATAAGGTTTATTTAGAGGAAGAAGTATTAGAGATGTTTGCTGCCTTGAGTTATTTATAAAAATAATAAAGACAGGATAAAAAAAATCTAAAATATTAAAAAAAATTCTTTTGTTTTGCCAGTAAGAAACACTATATCACTTTTGAAAGCTGAAGTGTTTAATTACATATTGTAGGTTTTCCTTTATTTTAAAATATATTCCAGGTTTTTTTAAAATTTTAAAATATTTTGTATTTCTGTGAAGTCTGAAGTATAAAGAAGTATGGCTATTATAAATATATCTTGCTATCAGAATTTGTTATTTATTTCTAAAATGCCATTTAACTTGGCAGTCTTTTGCCTGATTGTTTATTGATTTGGGGGAGCTGGGAAGTTAATCAATATATAGTGAAGAGTTTTAAATCATAGACCATACCCTGAAAATTTTGTTTCATTGTAAGACTGATTCAAGTAGACAATTCTAAAATATTACATTCTGATTGTCTGTTGCTTGTCTATTATCATTTAAAATGATGGTGGACTAGCAAAGCAAAAGAGTTATAGGAAAAAAATAATACAAGCCTTTCAAGGTACAGTCTGTACAGATTTGTGAGACCATCTGATCGGCCTTACTGTTGAGACTAAGCATTTTGTTTTTCACAGTGCAGATGCCTTTGTGATTGATGTTTGTGAGCAAGACACAGATGCAACCTCTCTTCCATGTGGTTTCTACCATACCTTTGAACTTGTGGCTTCAGATATAGAGATAGCACAGAGTCTCGAAACTAATAGCCATCAACAGAATCGGTCTTCATGAATTAATGCAATTCCCTTTTGCTTTTTATTTATTTAACCGATTTCTAAGGCTGTTCACCCATAAATGACTATGAGTGACTTACACTCATTCAAAACAACATTAAAAGAGAACTGCATCATGAACAAAAAAACAAAATATACAACACCTAATCTGTTACTAATACACAGCAATTAGTGGTGCCACACATCGCCTAACCCAGTCCCTGTGTGAAGACCTTGGTCTGAAAAGCCCTCCTGAAAGACAGCAGGGTCAAAGGCATGTAATTTCAAACCAGATGCTGTTTCAAAAGGCAGATGTAACTACAAAGAATACTTTGAGTCACATGACATGGCATTGATTTAATCAATGAAATCCAGTACATGCCAACTCAGATAGGTCTTAAATAGACAATTGAAAATAGGTCTTGCAAATATCCATATCCTATATCATGGATCATGAAGGCTTTGTAGATGCTTATCAGTACCTTGAATTATATTCAGTGGTTGATAGCCAGCATAGCTTGGAAAGTATTTGTTTACATAGGCATATCATTTACCAGTTTAAAGATATCCTTCCAATTTTTAACCACATCAACTACTTTATTCCACTCAGAAAACTGACAATGGTGAAGAACTTATTAATGAAGCCACCACTGGGATGCATGTTAAATAAAAATACATTTAGTTTCCTTTTTTTTAATAGCCACTTCATTTGCATTGGTCTTCCTGAATATCAACGTTTTTTTCAAAGTTTATTTATTTATTTATTTATTTGATTTGCCAATTGTTTACAAGATAATAAGTATAAGTGTATACATAGTTGTGAATACATGAAATGGGTACATATAAGAAAAATAAAAGAAGAATAAGAGAAACAATAGGACAGGGACGGTAAGCACGTTGGTGCGCTTATGCACGCCCCCTACAGACCTCTTAGGAAAGGGGTGAGGTCAATAGTAGACAGTCTAAGGTTAAAGTTTTTGGGGTTTGGGGAAGAAACTACAGAGTCGGGTAGAGTATTCCAGACATTGACCACTCTATTGCTGAAGTCGTATTTCCTGCAATCAAGTTTGGTGCGGTTAACTTTGAGTTTGTATCTATTGTGTGCTCTTGTGTTGTTATGGTTGAAGCTGAAGTATTCATTGACAGGTAGGACATTGCAATGTATGATTTTATATACCATGCTTAAATCAGACCGAAGACGGCGTAATTCAAGGTTTTCTAGTTCTAGAATTTCAAGTCTGGTGGCATAAGGTATTCTACAACGAGTAGAGGAGTGGAGAAGTTGTAGAGTTTCACTATTTTAATTGCCATGAAATATTAAACACTACTGACATTTAATAACCAAGCTACTATTAGATTATAATAGTAATTCTTTGGAATGTTTTCCAGGTACCACTGTTTATTCCTGCTCTGTTTTCCTTCACCTGTCTCTTCATGGTTGCACTGTCACTTTATGCTGATCCAGTTAATACTGGCATTGGTTTTGCAATTACAATGACAGGAGTCCCTGCCTACTACCTCTTTATTATATGGGACAAGAAGCCAGCATGGTTTAGGCGATTTTTAGGTGAGTGAATTTTGAGCAAAACTGTTTTTTTTGGTATTTTTATTTATGTATTTATTTATAAAATGTACAAGCTGCCTATCTTACCCCAAGGTAACTCTTATTTTTATGTTAATTTTTATATAAAAAGAATAACTTTACAGCAGATAATTTAATTTTTTCCTATTTTCCTATTCTCATTTTACATAAGTCATCATTTTAAATCTGATATACTGGATAAATTATGGCACTAGTTTAATTACAGAGTAGGTTTTAGTAATAGAAGTCATCACACAATTTATGATTTGGTACACAATTGAATTCCCCTTTGTAATCATCCTTCCATTAAAAAAAGGGGTTTCTAGACTTCTGGCTGCAGCGCTGTGGGGAGTGGGGAGAGAAGAGCAAGCTCTGCTCTCTCGTACCCAATCTGCACATTTGGAGGCCCTGGTGAGGGGCACGTAGACCCTGGAGGGGAAGCCGAAGGTTTGAGGAAGTCTGAGGAGAAGTTTGACGGCGGCGGTGATTGAGCTTCGAGGGAGACCTCATTTGCTCCGATGTGTGAGTGATCGGCCATCTCGATGGCAGACTGAAGCTGTGGCACTTTAGCCCAGTGAGGAAGATACCAGAGCATGAATAGCGTTTTTGGCATCAATTGAAGGATTGAATTTGGAGTGAAGGAGACGGAAAGTGAAAGTCGAGGAGACAAACGGCAGAGAGAGATGGCAGAACTGTGAGTCTTAAATAAAGGATGGAAATCCGAATGGAAATGGTGATCCGGCGGTGAAAGCAAGGAACTTTTAAGACAGAGATTGAAGCCGATTAAGTTGATTAAAGTTTGACTGGTGTTTTGGACTTGTTCTGCTAAATTTGGAGTTGATTTACACTGATTATTTAGGAATTTGGAGTTTAATCTGACAGTCTGTGACTTGCAAAAGAAGAAGAACAGTGGAAAAAAGTAAGAGACAGGACTGAATCCAAGAACGGAAGTGACATTTTGAGATTATACAGAGAGAAGAGAAGCTGATGTAACAGACTGTGACTAAACAAAACAAGAACAGACAGGGAAAGGAAAGTGATTGAACATTATTGGACTTCTTTTTATAGAATATAATTAATGAAATAACATTTTGATGAAGGTTTGATTGAGTTTATTAAGAATTTAAAAGTTTAAATGACATGAAACTGTGAAGACTGGTGAAATACTATTTTGATGATTATTGATTGATTGATTATTAACAACTAATGAAATAAGTAAGGTTATATATATAAGAAGTGGAATATAGAACTGTTTAAAAGAAATTGAACTTTACAGTTAAAGATAAAGAATATAGTTGATATACCATAATATAGTAATATAAAATAGCTGTATAAGAACAATTTATAGTAAGCATATCTTATGCTATTATATCACACCCTTTCTCTTTTTTCTTTCTCATTTTGATACTATCTTTTCTGTCATCTCTTTTGCTCTGTCCCCTCTTTATCTTTTTTAATTTTGGTGATTCAGTTAATTTCAGACCTTATAAAAGACTTAATCAAATTTGAATAATTTAGAATATCATAAGTTGGAACGGTGAAAAGATATTTATATTCTAAGGGAAACTATTGAATAGAATTAATAATAAAAGGAAAATTAAATAGTGAATGGTAAAGTGGGAAGACATCTACAACAAAGTTAGGAATATGACCAGTACTATAACAATGGCCTTGAAAGGGAAAAAAACAATGTCTGGTTCATCAGTGTCTATTGCATCTCCAGCGGGCCAAAAAACAATAGAAGGAATGCTGAACACGGAAAAAACAAACAACATGGCCAACATGCAGACGATGCAAGCAACATTAACAGCTATCCAAGAAACGATACTTAAAATGCAAGAGACAATGGTAAATAACCATACAGATATGAAGACGGAAATGGGAGAAATGAAGGGTAAGATTCAAAATCTAGAGGAGAATATGGGAACGATCCAACAGACATTGGAGAAGAATGAACAAACAATAAAGAATATAGAAACTAAAGTTGAACAAACAGATAAGAGACTGGAAGGGATGGATAGGTAAGTAATAGAGATGAACAGAGATTTAGAAGATTTGATTATCTATCTCAAAATGGAACATGCAACATTCTATGTGAGGTTCCAAAATGTATTGGAATCCAAAGATGAAGATCTGGGAGCTATAATGTCCCACTTAATAGCAGAGGTATTGCAAAGGGACCAACAGGAAATAGTGAAAGAATTGGATGAGGTTTACCGAATCCACACAAACTACGCCAGATGAAACAAGCTGCCTAGAGAGGTCCACATCAGGTTCACCAGAAAAAGTGTAAGAGATATTGTATATAGAATCACAAAGGACGAGCCGATGGTGTATAAAGAAAAAGAGATCATGACCTTGAAACAAATCCCAAGGCGGGTACGAGAGTTGAGCCTTTGTGCAGGTATGGAAAACACCAAATACCCCTAATAAAGAACTAATAATACACAAAGTAACAGAAAGTGCTGAGATGAATATGCTAACAATGAAATTGAAAGAAAAAGACGACTCTGAATTCTTTTCAATTTGGAATAAATGGTATAAATGGCTAATAAACAGAACTAAGAAGTGAGACCAAAATGTTAATTGAAATAACCCTTAAGAAACTAAAACAAAATTTTGTCAATTATATAAAGATATAATAATAGTAATTATAGTTAAAGCTATTAGTAGTAGACAAATGTAATATAATGTATTATACAGTATTTAAACCAAAAACCTGTATAGATGCCAAGAACGTTGTTGATAACATGTTTTACGATATAACATAAGAAACTTAATAAAAATATATATTAAAAAAAAGGGTCTCTAGTTGTCTGTCCTAGGACCATAAAACTATCTTCATGTGTGTCTATCAAATGAAGTATGAATGCTGGCTGGTAATTCCTAAAATTTGTTGAGAAAAGAGATTCATTGATAATTGATCATTGATTACACACACATTTGGTAGGTATATGTTTCTGTAAGCATGCAATGGGATATTTTCTCCTGTACTTTCTCAAATATAATGTCTTTTTCCAAGTATATTAGAGATTATAATAATTTTATATGAATTGTAGAGAAGAAACCAGTAGACATTTACTCACATTTATTTCATCGATGTCACAATTCCTTTTCTGCCTGTTAATCATATAATTGATTTTTGAATTAATATCAGTTGTTTTATGTATTATTGGCCACCAGAACCAATCTACAAATGACTTCAGCCTTACTGGGATCCATCAGGTGCAGATAGCCATTATAGTTAGTATCAGATCTCATGGAGTTCAAAGCCCACTATTGGGAGTTAGTCCAATGCAAGGGTGGGATTCAAATTTTTAAACAACCAGTTCTGTGGGTGTGGCTTAGTTGGTGGGCATGGCTTGGTGGTCATGTTATTGGCTGGGCGTGGCCAACTTAATATCACTCACATCGAGGCACGCATCAGCTTGCTTGGCCTCTCACGACTGTGGGGATGCTAAAACAGTTGTAAGTGTGAAAAATGGTCATAAGTCACTTTTTTCAGTGCCATTGTAACTTTGAATGGTCACTCCATACAAGCAAAGTACCAGCAAAGTAGGGGAAAAAAACTCCAGAGAAATTCCTGAGTTTGGAAGTCTAGTCCTGCCAAGAATGTAATAAGGGTTAATGGAGAGGCAGTTTCTATAAGCAACACCAGAATGTTTCCTTCCTGCCTTCCTTACAGGATTAGGCCAGTAATTTCTTCTAACAATCAGTTCTCCGAACTGCTTAGAATGTTAACAACCGGTTCTAACGAATAGGTGTGAACTGGTAGAATACCACCCCTGGTCCAATGTGATTTTATGCAGTGCACCAGTTTTATAAACAATAATGACCTTGGTTGCCAAAATCTGAAAAGAAAGATATAGATAACCTATAAGTACACACTCATTTTTCTGGACTCTTAGTTTCATGATAATACCACCAGGGTGGGAGACTCTTAGTATATATCTCTGTGGTTTATATATCTTACTGACCCCAGAAATCAGCACAGGACACTTTTGTCATAATTGAGACTTAGCAGGTACATTTTGGTTAGTTCAAAACTTACTCCCTACTCTTACTTCAAGACCTCTTTGGTGCAGGATATGGCATTATGTTAAAGTTGATAAGCACAGATCCTAGTTGAACTGTTATATCTTGTATATACTAGTATACATAGTTTCAGTTGAAGTTCTCAGTCTGGTCCTCTTTTGGAGAGGGAAAATACTTTCTCCTGATTGATTGTTTGGCTGATCAGATTCCTATAAAAGGAGCTCTGTCAGCCAGGGAGTTACAGTTGCCTCACAGACAGTATTGAATAAAGAGCTGTTAGAAATCACTCTGGCCTAGCTTCCATTCTTCCCCCAGAACTTAACATGAACATTAGAAAGATTTTTTTAGGAACAGCGTGTCAGTACTATGCAGCCAGTTTCCAAGAAAGGTACATTCCTTTTACCTGTGCTCAGGCAGAAACCAGGTAGTTTTCTGTCAGGGATCCTTTAATTTGCACTTCTGCACAGAAGAGGATGCTGAAGGGATCTATCTTTTGAATAGAAATTCATGTGAAAAATCTCAGCCTCCAGCATTTCAATTCATTTTAGGAAACATTTTCAGCTGAGACTAGTAGGAATCTTTTATACCACAAGGCTAATTTTGGTCTGGGGGACAATGTCAGAGTTATAATGGGTAGGAATGTATAATCAATATCATTCCTTCCTATGTATTGTAGTTTAACAAAACCCCCAGTGTTGTGGAGCGGCGGAATAACCTGAGGCGAACACGGAGAGAACTTCAGTGTTTACTTTATTGTAACAATAAAGGGTTGCCGCAGCTGCCGCGCTAACAAGGCAGCCAGCTGGCGGACAACAGCTGATGCCATTTGACAGCTCCCTTTTATAGCCAGCTGTCAAACGGCATCAGCCAATAGGAACGGTCCGTGTTCCCGCTGGAAACACGGACCAGAGTGAAGACTTCAGCTCAGTCTTTTCCAAACGCCACACCCAGTACCTGTGATTCTTCTAAAAAGAAATCCCTTATTGTAACTGCAGTTAATTTTAATTAGCTATGCTTTAACACTCACAGTTGTTGCTGCTTCTGCAGAAAGAGAAATCTACAATCGGTGTAATGGTGTTTTTGCACATATGTATGTGTGTGTGTGTGGGGGGGGTGAAGTATACAGGCTAACAGGCTACTTTTCAAGAATGTGAAATAGAATATTTACTATATATCCAAAAATAGTAATTAAAAGATGCTTACTAAAGTATATCAATGCATAAAGTTATTATATATAAATATATAATGTCTAAAGTTGCATCTTTTTAATATTTTCAATACCTGCAATAAATAAATCACTGTATGATAGTCAAAATATCTTCATAGCTTTATTTATCTATTTACTGTATATGCCTTTGCAAGTATTGTTTTCTTCAAAGAATTGATATAAACATAAGAAATATAAAACAAAACTTGTGTGTTGGAAATCATCATTACTTATCTAACCTTATGTCTATAGGATTCTGTAGTTATTTCTTTCTGCCTCAAAAGAGACTTTGTATTTTATTCTTTCATCAGTTAGTTACAATTTCGCAAGCTGTTGAGTTGTAGTTTCATAAATCAGTATGGCCACAGGATGCCAGTGTTGATCCATTAGATTTAAATAAAAAGCATAATATTTTTGAGATTTCTGCTCTTGCAGAATGCAGTGATTTTTTTGAACTCTGCGACTATTATTGTTTCCTGGCAGGAGAAAATATAAATACCATAAATGAAACAGACTTTGAAAACCCAGTTTAAATTCGGTATATTAAATAGTTTGTAATTAGAATGCTATGCTTCCATCTCATGGACATCATCTTTGGCACTCTAATAGTAATTATTTTGTTAAGGAGACAACAATATATGTATATTTTTCATATATATCAATAATCCTATATAAAGGTACCATAGACCTTTGTTCCTTCTTAAGGCATCAGTGGTTTTGATCTTAAGATATGTTACTTAAATATGGATAGTCATCAATTCCTTCTGGATGCTAACTTAATTTGATCAAAAAGGTTTCCGCATTTTTCTAAATATAGTTTTCAGGAATAACTAAATGTTTTTAAGTAAGGAAGAGAGCATATGAACTAGTTTAGTGGGACATTTACAGATGAAAAATTGCAATATAAATCAATTTATTTCAATTTTAAAACCAATACTTTTCAAGGGTGCCAAATGAACGTGATGGAACCAAAATATATTGAAACATCATGGATGTTTAATGGTTTTTTGCATTTTAGGGATTTAATGATTTTTCACATTTTAGGAAACAGAAGGCAGCTTCTGTTAGAGTAGGCAGAGTAGGAAGTTCTGCCCTAAAGTTCCAATAATAGCTTTTTTTTATTTGTTTACATTTACACCTTACTTTTCCTGTAAGGAATGCCAAATAGTATGTAGGGACAATACATTTCCCCCCCTAAAACAATCCTATGTGGTAATTTAGAAAGAGAGAAAGCAACTGTCCCAAAGACACTATACATGAAATAAATGTAATGGGAATATGTAATTATAATTGCAATACATCTAATGTACTGTTGAGAATTTGTCAGATTATTTTTTAATTTATTTAATTTATTTTTATTTTGTATTACTTTGTAAAGGCTATCTTCTTAAAAAGTTTAATAAGATTCAAATTCTAAAAAAAAAGAATCCCCAGACTGATTTTATATACATTTTGTGCAACACTCACTTTGGATTTGAATCAAATTGTCATTTGCTTCGTTTGATTCTATGTCTCTAGTATCTCTTTCTCTGTATATAATCCTATTACAAATGTTCTGGAGAAAAAAAAGCATTTGAACTTACATCTGAGTAAACATGAACAGACTCTCATATATTGTTCTTTCACAGATAAGATGACATCAACATTGCAAATAATCTTAGAAGTTGTTCCAACAGAAGAGAATCCAAATTTGTGATCTTCAGCTAGAAGAATCTGCACTGTTAGACAAACATCCAAGTTCTTCATAGATTGAATGAACAATTTTTTTTTCTTGCCAAAATGGTTTTAAAAAAAGTTTTACTGGAAAACTTGCAAAAGTTATATTGGGGCATCAGTTTTAACCTGATACTTGATGAAAACTTTAAATGGAATTGTTATGGATGTATGTGTACACATACATAACAAAAGTTATCTGATACTATAACAACAGTTTTGTAGGCAACTGTTTTAAAACTGTTGTAAAATAGTGTTTATCTTCTGCTTTGCAAATGGAGTTGATATGGTATTTTCTATATTTTAAATGTATAAGATATCACATTTTTCATACTGATATTTACTAAGAACATTTGTTTTAAAAATGTTCACCATAGCTAGAAATATTAGAATGGATTAAATGTGAATTTTCCATGCTGGACCTGATGTAAGACAACAATAAAAGAATTATATTAATACAAAATTATTCCATTATTTGTTTTTTTAAAGCAACACTTTATGGTTCATTGGGGACAGTACTGCATTAAAAACAGCTCTATTTCCCCCTATTCAGTTATGATTAAGACTGCTGAATTGTTCTGACACTCAAAGAACATACCATTTGATGGACAGAGGAACATTCTTTGTCAATACTTACACATAATAAAATACACATAACAAAAGACATTATCTTCTACTTAGGTACTATAGAAAATTTATGGCTTTTGTGTTTTCCCTTTTGTGTTTTCTGTTTTTCTACTATTTTTCCACAAAAATATTTGAAATAAAAGAATTCTACAATATCTTAACTGAATTATGGTGGCACAGTGGTTAGAATGGACTACCGCAGGCTAATTCTGCTGACTGCCGGCTGCTTGCAATTTGGAAGTTTGAATCTCACCAGGCTCAAGGTTGACTCAGCCTTCCATCCTTCTGAGGTCAGTAAAAGGAGGACCCAGATTGTTGGAACAATATGCTGACTCTGTAAACCACCTAGAGAGGGCTATAAAGCAGTGTGAAGTGGTATTTAAGTCTAAGTGCTATTGCTAGTCCTAAGTACTGTGTATCTAGAAACATTTTGAATTGTTGATGGCAGTTTTAAATCAACCACAGCAAATATCGGCAATCTCCCTTTTTTCTGTAGGAGAATGGAAGGGTTTATTTCCTCCAGAATACATTCATTGCTGATATCTAATGCTGTTTAGCCTAACTGTATATCAGTGTGTCAGTTATTATTATTTAGCACATGGCGAACAATGTCAAGGAAATTTGAAAATACAAGATACAATGCAGTTTTGACAGCCTAATCTGCTAGGTCATCCTGTTCAGCACTTGCATGCCTATTTTTGGTGCACTGCCAGGGGAAAGCTAGCTTACACCAGATGACTAGCGGTGGTCAGCTTGCTGGCTCTTTCAGGCTCCTCTGCCAGTTTTGCCTCACTTCATGTGTTGCCTCATGTTCATCCAGGTCTAGCACCAGCTTCCACTCTCTTCACACATGAATGAAGCTAGGATAGCACCAAAGTGCTATCCATCAATCTACTTTCAATATTGCATGCTTTTGAACTTCAGGGTGGGGAGGAATATGAGAGTGAGTAGTGTGAGTTCACCTTGTCTCACAGAGCTGGGCTCAAACTCCTGGAATGCAGACCATTTCTGGCCAGCAGATCCAGTATCATTAAGTCACTGGGTCACCATAGCTGGAAGTAAGCGTCAGTTCTTTAGCATTCAAAAAAACAAAAAACAAAAAAACAAAAAGCTTGGAATTGTGTCCAGAACCCAAAATCTTAATTATGGACATCTGAAGCAATCTTAACCTACTGTGTTCCACAGTCAAACTCTTTAATGGAGAAAAAGTTAAAAATAAGTTTTCAGTGGCACAGGGTAATATCTTTCATGTGACATAGAGACAACAATGCTGTCCTTTCAATACACTAAGCCATCCTGGTTTGGTGTGGTTTAAAATAGAATGCAAATCTACTATTGTTGGTACATTAGCAATTGTATTTAGGCTTATATACTGGCCCCTAGTGCTTTACAGTACTCTGGTTTACAACATTAGCGTTTTGCTTTCAATAATCTGAGTCCTTATTTTATTGACATTGGAAGGGTGGAAGTCTGAGTCAACTTCAGGATTGAACTCCAGACTGTGGGCAGAGTTTGCCTGCAATATTGCACTTTAACCATTGTGCCACTAGGGCTCCTTATAGCCTATAAGTGTTTATATTAGCTTATAGCTTTGTGTTTTTGTGAGACCATCACTTTTGTCTATTGAACAAATCATGATTAAGCAAGCAATATGCTTGACGTCATGTGTAAATCTGATCACTTTTCACTCCATTTTGTGGCAAAAAAAATTATTTATTCAAAATTTTCTAAAGCTGCACATCTCAATGATTTTGGCTGGCTCTTTTGTCTTTTCCTTTCTTTGCTTTAATATTTGAAACAGAAAGTTATTCAAGGAAACTTTACTGACGTCAACAGCATTCTGTTCAATATCTTCCTGGTTTTTTGTTTTTGTTTTGCATTTAGCAACACTGCATTAAGAAAAATGGCTTCAGGCATTATTATTTTTTTGTAAGATTAGTGGCCACAAAACAGGCTCTATGTCCTAAGAGAGATTGCCTTCTTCATTAATTATGCACTTTTATATTCTGTGCACATTGAATTATTTGTAAAGTAATAGTGTGACTTTTAGAAAGGCACACAGGAGGCTTATTATTCTAATTAATAATTCCACCACATGAAAATTTACAATCATTATAATAATACAAAACTATATTAATGAGGTACCGAAGGACAGTAGTTTGCAAAGATATGTATAGCTGAATGAAACCCAGGAGATAAATAATGTTGTATGGTAAATAAATGGATAGCGACGACCACTGACTAAAGAGAAAAGGTTCAGATCTCTAACTATTGTAACACAATACAGCATGGATTACTCTGCTCTGACATGAAGAGTGATGATGCAAAAGATGTGACTTAAGAAGGAAGGATGGTAAGGTGAGGTGCAGTATATCCAATGCCTACAATGCCCTTCTTGGTTCTTTCCACCTGATCAGTCTTGGTTAGGAGAAATACATTCAATGACATTGCTTCCTTTTCTAATGTGTTGAGGTGGGTGGGGAATAACCAATTAGTTGTATTCTCTCATCTGTTGTTCCTCATTTTATGTCACAGGCCACATGTACTTAATTTAGGACTAAGTAAATAGAGATATAATCCTCCTATGGCAAGAAGAAGCTACAATAGACTCGGCCTTAGACTCCAATCTGCTAGAAATTGTTTTCTGAATAAAGGTGGTAAGAACTGACGAGGTTATCTACTAATGATTCTCTTCTATGTACTTTGTGCTACACAGTGTGCACATGTGCATGCACACACGCACATGCGCGTGCATGCACACACTCAAACACACACACACACACACACACACACAAAACAACCCACAGATAGACAGGCAGACTCATTATTGAGTCAAATCACCACTGGAATTATCTGTCCCTACCAAGATCAAGTCTCAACAACTTCTTTGACTAATTATCTGCAGGTATATATTCACTTCTTTTCAAAAAGTCTATATAAAGCATTGGTGCAAAACTAACACTTCTTGGGTTACATAATTATAAGCGTTAGACTGCTACAAGTGTTAATGGATAAATGGCTATTATTAATGGGTTTAAGAGGAACCTATGACAGATCTAAATCCTGCCAACTTTTCTGCCACAGAAAATATGTATTGGATTTTAATTATAGGATAATTATAAAATTCTTACAGTATACAGACCCTATACAGAATGGATAAACTATTAATCAGTTTATATATTGATTTAAAATAAGTTTGCTGAAAAATTAAAACCCCTAATATAAAGACTGTGTCCACATATATATGCATGTACAGTATATTCAGCATGAATAAATACACTGTAGGACGAAGACACAACTGAAGGTTGTGGACCAATGTGATTTGGTAGATATAAGGTTGTTGTTTTTTTTTACTTCCTGCCTAGGGTTAAGAGTGACTGGTGCAAAAATACCTAGTCAGTCTCCATGAATAAATGAACATTAAAACTATTTCTTCTTATTCCTTACTTCTAGTCTAGCAATTTAAATATTAAACCACACTAGCTGTCATATACTGTACTTTGAAAATTATTTAGAAAATGCATGTAGCCAGTCGCTACTACTCTTTTTTTAAAGATTCTGAGATAGCATGGATAGGTTGTGGATACTTTCAGGTCTCAATTAATCAAATTAATTAATATGACACTTAAAAATATACCAGGATGATAAAGAAGCATGAAAAAGAAGGAATTACTCTAATGAAGAGTAGAGAAATAATATGCTTTTCTATGATCAAAAGCAATTCTTCCTTAACTTTAAAGCGTGTACAACTTGGTACATTACAAATTAAGCTAAAATTAATGTTAATTATCTCTTTTGTATACATTCTCTGTGTTGTTATGTTATATACAAATTATAAAATATTCATTATTACAATTTTATGTTTGTGTAGGTCTGTGTAGCTCAATGGTATCAACTATATACAGGTGAAACTCGAAAAATTATCGTGCAAAAGTTCATTTATTTCAGGTGAAACTAATTTATGGTGAAACTAATATATGAGATAGACTCATTTCATGCAAAGCAAGATAGTTCAAGCCGTGATTTGTCATAGTTGAGATGATTATGGCTTATAGCTCATGAAAACCCCAAATCCACAATCTCAGAAAATTAGAATATTGTGAAAAGGTGCAATATTCTAGGCTCAAAGTATCCCACTCTAATCAGCTAATTAAGCCATAACACCTGCAAAGGGTTCCTGAGCCTTAAAATGGTCTCTCAGTCTGGTTCAGTAGGAATCACAATCATGGGAAAGACTGCTGACCTGACAGTTGTGCAGAAAACCATCACTTACACTCTCCATAAGGAGGGAAAGCCTCAAAAGGTAATTGCAAAAGAAGTTGGATTCCCAAAGTGCTGTATCAAAGCACATTAATAGAAAGTTATGTGGAAGGGAAAAGTGTGGAAGAAAACGGTGCACCAGCAGCAGGGATGACCACAGCCTGGAGAAGATGGTTAGGAAAAGGCCATTCAAAAGTGTTGGGGACTTTCACAAGGAGTGGACTGAGGCTGGAGTCAGTGCATCAAGAACCACCACACACAGACGGATCCTGGACATGGGCTTCAAATGTCGTATTCCTCTTGTCAAGACGCTCCTGAACAACAAACAACGTCAGAAGCGTCTTACCTGGGCTAAAGAAAAACAGAACTGGTCTGTTACTCAGTGGTCCAAAGTCCTCTTTTCTGATGAGAGCAACTGTTGCATCTCATTTGGAAACCAAGGACCCAGAGTCTGGAGGAAGAATGGAGAGACACACTCTGCAAGATGCTTGAAGTCCAGTGTGAAGTTTCCACAGTCTGTGTTGATTTGGAGAGCCATGTCATCTGCTGGTGTTGGTCCACTGTGCTTC